AAAAAATAATTAAAAATCATAACTCTGGGACTTAGACAACTTTTCTAGATCGCAGTCTAATAAAAAATCTCATTATTATGGAACGAGGGAAATTGTCCCAGATAGAAAGATCATGGGCATAAAACAAAATCTATAGGACTTAAAATCTCGATCGTGAAAAATTAGGGATTATGGGAAACATTTGGAGTTTTGGACCATGAAAGCTGGGACTTAAAAATTCGTCCCTGTCCTTTGGTACAGTGAGGGTTAGGGCGCGTTCTGCCAGGAGGCAGATTTCATGTCTGAGTAAGTGTTGACACCAGCCATTGTTATTTGCAATTCACTTAACAAGGTGCGCTTCATATTTCACCACATGTAGTTCCAAAGAGCCTTAATGAAATGTGGCGCATGCGATGATCACGATATGAAGGCACATTGCTACTAATTTTATAGAACACAAGTAAATGCTTCCAGACATTAGTTAAGATAAAATATTAAAAATGTGTTAAGCGTTAGTCAACAAAATTAACAACATTGATATACTTTAAATCGTGTTAAATTTAAATCTTCCCTCATATCACATCCGTTGAACCATCCCTGAATGGTCATCCCGTTGTGGTTATATCACACCGTTGCTAATAATGTATGTATCTTTATTTTTTTCCAGTACCAAGAAGTCAACAAAGTAAAAGTGAAAGAAGAGCTGCAAAATGGAACACAATGACAATGGAGTGATGCTCGTTAAGAAAAAACCCGGGTACACTGTCCATTTTCCGCATTAGTGTTACGGTTTTACGGTTTTATAAGATGCAACTAGGAACTCAAGATCATCATACAAAGATAATGGACGTCAAAATGTCGTAGAACACATAATAGAAGGACAACTAGTTCACAAATAGGCACGAAAATTGGACAGAAGGGTGAGAAAACAGTGAAAGTTGGTGAGATCGTTTTAAATTTTGAGTTTTTATGATTGCTCATATCTACAAAACAATGCTGGGATTGGGAGGGACTATCAGGGAACCCTATTGAAGAGATTTGGATGGGGATAGTCAAATTGTTAACTCCATGTACTTTGACTTTATGTTTAGTATAGTGAAGTCAACGATTTACATAGTTGAAGATGCTAATTTCAAATAACAGACTGAAGTGGTAATTTTTATACGATAGAGTGAGGAGATGAAAGAATAGAATTGATAGTTCCGTTTAGAGTACGGCAGTGTGAAAATTGCATATAGAGGAGTAGACAGCGAGCTAGGACAACTTTTAGGAAGGTACAAATCGGTTTTATCATCTCTCTTGACCAAACTCCACCTTTGGAGAGGGATGGTGAAGGGTGTCCCCTCTTCCACCACCACCACTGGCAAAGAGAGATGATCGCCGACCTCTCAAGTACCAACGTTGTGTTTTGAAACAGTTCTACCGATTTTTACCGCACTCCAGTTGTTATTTGAAGGTAGGTATCCAGTCGTAGGTTTGGAAATTGCAGCTTTTGTTACCCCTACCACGGTATGTGCTCCTGTCATCGTTGATATCGTCAAGTCTAAGAGTCGGAAATCTCCGAGACAAACAAATTGAGAAAATGTTGCAGTCTGAAATAATTTTCATCATTTTGATCATATAGAATGTAATTTCACAGTCCTTGAACAATGAAAATGCTCATGAAACATAGAAAACATTTTATGACCATGGAAATATTTTTTTTTCGAAACCTGCACCTGTAAATTGGTTTACGTAGGGGAAATGGATGTAATTTCGGCCTAAATGCCCCTAATTTGGGCCCATACATAAATTCAGTAATCGACCAAATTTTCAATAGCGACCAAAAATATCCATTGGTACCGTCCCAATGACGCGTTCATCTAGATAAAATTGATAAATAGCAGATTTTTAGCGATGGGTCCAATCTTAGATCCATAGGCCAACATTAGAGCTATTTCCCCTATTACTGGATTATCAGTACGGAAAACAATTTTATGAACTTAAAAAAGGAACTCAAAATTCTGTGGCATAATTTTTTTTTTCGGTTTTTGGATAAATGCTAAAGCTACCGGGGGTCAACACTTTTTAAAATTTCTGGCCTTTGTCGAGAGCTTGAACATTTTCCTAGAAAACTTCTTTACATTTCAAGCTTGGAAAATGTTAGAGATCTCGAAGTAAAAAAGCGAGAATATTGGGTCTATAACCTTGTTTTTTTTTCGAAACCGCTGACAGTTAAACAATCCAAAATTGATGATTCCGTCAACATCAATTGGAAAGTTAACGATTCCATCTGTTCGCAACTCTTCTTGTCATTCAGAATTTACACACGCATATTTAATGAATCTTTCTAACACAAATGTGTTACCAAATCAATCTGTGACTTTATGTGTTTTTATGGCCTCTCAACATTGGTCGTAAAAAGTGCCTTTTAAGGAATAGTGTGATGCCTTTTTGATGAAAAAAGTGACTTTTTAGTGACTCACTTGAACTGCCTATAATCGCATATCAGTCGCACATGGAACAAGTAGGCATTAAGAAAATGGCAGTCGAAGTTACGAAGTGCAATTCTCATGTAAATATTTGAAAAATCATAGTAAATTTATTGATATTTTTTTCAAGTTAAAATCTATCACAATGAATCTTGTATGTCCTGTTATATCAGCGAAAAATGTGGCAATTCGAAAAGCAGAACATTAACTTGAACTATGGACGATTGAATTTCAGGATGGGACTGATATGCGATTACTTTGCTTGGTGGGACAAGCTGATTTGATATTTTTCATGATTAAAGTGCATAGTTTTATCACATAATATGAAAGTAGACGTCAATTGATAGTGGATAGCATTTTTATCTCAAATTGACGTAAACCCATATGGGACTGATATGCAGTTATAGGCAGTGAATATAGTAACCACTTAAAATTGACATTAGCTCTGAATTGGTAGTAAAAATATAACGCTTTTGATGCATATTCAAGTATAAAAGTTCACAACAAGCTAAAGAAATGATGATGACACTTTGCGATTCCCCTTTCACAGCCATCAGTATGTAAAACCTGTCACTTAAAGAGTTGTCTGTACAATACACTTGTTTATGGATTTAGATTAATATCCAAAGTCCCTCCTTGTTTCCATACTTGGCTCAAAAAATACATTCTAGGCCCCGTCCCATTCTTACAAACGGTGAGCAAAGGATATAGCTTGCGTTACTCTGACGAATCACTTTCCCAGGGTAAAGACGGCATTGGGATCTCCAGCTCTGAAGCTAGGGTATGTTACCGCCTCCCAGACCAGCGCAGCATGTTCCGGGCTGAGGCCGGACTGTCGCTTTCTTTGCCATCTCCACTCCGTCAAGCAAACAAATCAGGCATAAAATCTCTGATCACGCCTTCCTTCGGAAGGGAAGTAAAACCGTTGGTCCCCGGTTCAAGAATTGATGGGTCGATAAGTAGGATCCAGGTGTGGGACTTGCCTTCCTGGCGTTGGTAGCATTGGTGCTCAGCACGGAAAACAAGATTGACGGAAAACAAATCAAGGAAAAAAAAGCAAACCAATCGTCCTTTTCATCGACTCAGCCAGTGTTGTAGCCGCCATTGATGCCTAACGCCCCACTCACCCATGGATGCAGGCCATCTTCTCGAGTGCCCCACCTGGCACTACTGTCACCTGGATACCCGGCCACTGCGGAACTCAGGGCAATGTGGAAGCTGATCGCCTTGCTTCCTCCGGTAGACATATGTGCCTATACCCGCGTAAAGTCTCTGGCCCAGATCTCAAAAAGCATGTATATTTTGCATGATTTGGGAAGCCTAGAATATGAACTGGATAAACTACCGCAAACTCTTCATCAGACAAATCGAAGCAGACACGCGCAAATGGGAGGATCCAGCAGACCATCCATCCCAAATTGTCCTCTTCCGCCTAAGATCTGGCCACACTCGCTTTTCCCACAACCTCAGTGGAAACGGTGATTTCCACAAGACCTGCTCCCTATGCCGCATTCATCACTCTGTTGAGCATTTTCCCCAGTACCAAAGAGCAAGAGAAGTACTACTAGGTTTTCTTAAAGAGACAGAACTCTTCCATCTAATTTGATAACTACCACATCGGTGGTAGGACATCATGGACCGACCACCCGCACCATCACCCAGATTACCGACCCTAAACTGACCAATGATACAAGCAAGACCCATGCGCTCCAAAGCCCGGACAACTGACCCCAACAGACCTACGGCACAACCAGAACCCACCCACAAACAACCATTGACCCTCCCTGACAGCATACAACTCTCTGTTTTAAACATCTCTGTATTAGGGGGACCTCCTTCTGGGGCCTCATCCTCCTTCCCGTAGACCTCCCTCGGAGATCCCCAGAGACGAACCAGTCAATGGCTGAAAGTCTCTTTAATAAAGTAACCTAACCTTAACCTAAAAACAGCGGGAAATCATGTTAGGAAGCTGGAGCTGAGGAAGTATTTTGTGTGTGTCGAGTATGCAAAAAGGGATGTCATAGATGTCACCGCAAACAACAGCAGTGACATCTGATGGAAAATCAATGCAGGAGCTTGACTAAATATTTAATTTGTCTACTATAAACTGTCGAATAAAGTGGGAAAATAATCCACTGAACCTTTGACCGCATTTTCCGTGCAGGACCAAACCCAAATCAGTTACCTTTTTTTTCTAGTTCCACTATGTCTAGGGACAACGTGATTAAATCAAATCTCAAAAATATGCACTCACACTTTCACTGCGTACATCTGTTCTATTAAAGAGTTTCGCAACTCAATTTCTCCGAAATTAACACCGATGAGCCGCATTTGTTGAACTTCACAAAAAAAGTATCCGATGAAATTTTTAATTTGAGCGATAAAGATAACGAGCGCTTATCGGACCATAAAAAGGCTGATCGTTCGAGCGCACCTAAAACCTTTCGAGGTTAATCGTTTAAACGCCGACAGCAGACAAATTCCTATCAGTTTTCTTCTAGCTACCGATAGGTTTGGTTACAATTCTGAAGTTACAATCGACTGGTCGCAATGTTGTGGAACTGCCTGCTCACTGCTTGGGTAGCGACTGCCGTTTTGATAGCAGCTCAAGAGCCAGATCCGGAAGTCGACTGCAGTTCGGTATCGTACGCATTCTACTCCATAGAGGACGATTGCTCAAAGTTTGTGTTCTGTAACGATGGAAAGGCAGAGGAATTCAGCTGTCGTGTTGACGAATATTGGTCCCAACAGGCCGGTGCTTGCGTGTTTGGTGATTCGGAAACCTGCCAAGACTGGAGCCCTGAAATGGCTTGCAGCGGGAAAACTACGGGAATAAAGGTCCCTTATCCGAGCGATTGCGGAAAATTCGTCCTGTGCAGTGAAGAAGGAGACACAATCCAGGATTGCGAGCAGGGGTTAATTTTCGAAAATGACCGTTGTGTCGTTGGGAACTTGGAGGATTGTGAATCGTACGAGCCAAAGTGCGATGGTAAAGAGAATGAAAAGTTGGAGCATCCCGATCGGTGTGACGCCTTTCTAAAGTGTGGTGCAGAGGAGGTCACTTTGGAGTTTTGTCCTGAAGGTGCAATATTTCGGAATGATATAAGGCGATGCGTATTGGGTGATTTGGAGAAATGTGAACCATTGCCAATCGCAGAGATGTGCGAGAACCGAGTCAATGAAACCTTAGTACATCCCGACAGGTGTGAATCATTTGTGCAGTGCAAAGAAGGAGAAGAGCCAAGTGAGGAAGATTGTCCTCGTGGAAAGATCTTCAACTCGAGGAGCTTGAACTGTGAAGTGGGAGACTTGGACACTTGTGAACTGCTTGATCAAGTGTGCGTCATTGCTACTGTGGGTGAAATGCTGGAGCACCCAAATGGATGCGATATGCATATAATCTGCTTGCAAGGAGAAATTCCGCAGTTAGGCTTTTGTCCGTTTGGAAGGATATGGCGCCAGGATATGATGATGTGTGTTCCTGGAAACCAAGCCAGTTGCGATCGTGCATCGTTCGAAAGTATGTGTGATGATCAGCCCTATGGGGTAATATATCCCCATCCGGAAGGTTGCTCAATTTTAGTTAAGTGCACACTCCCCTATGCTGTCGAGATCCCCTGTCCAGCTCATCATATCCTTCAACCTGGTACCTTGGATTGCATTTTGGGGGACCAAGATAAATGCATATCATATAACGACTTGTGCATTGATAAGCTGTACGAGATAGTCGCTCTGCCCGACACCGACACCTGTGATGCATTCATTTTTTGTCTGAACGAAAATCCAGAACTACGTAATTGTCCAATAGGTGATATTTTTGATGCTACACTAGGAATATGTTCACCTGGTAACAATAACAATTGTGAGTTAATTGAGTGTATCCATCCTGACAGCGTTTCGAGGCATCCAAACTTTTGCAACATATTCACACGCTGCAACAACGGTCAGATATCCACCCAATTTTGTCCATTCGAACACATCTTCCACGAAACCATGAAGCGGTGCACTCCGGGTAATGCTATGGAATGCGTATACGATTCTTTGGAGGAAATGTGCAAAGGTCGATTCAATGATATAGTGTATCCTCATCCAAGTACCGATAACGAATGTATAGAATACGTACTGTGCATGGATGGCGAGGCCAATGTTAACGCCTGTCCAGAAGGAATGGTCCTTCGACCGGAACATCTAGACTGCGTGCCGGGCGTTGAAAAGGATTGTCAAGTTCTCGATATTGTTTGCCATGCTGATGAGGAATCAGAGATCGTTCATCCCGGTAGGTGCGACATGAAGATTATCTGTAACAATGGAACATTTACAGTAGAAGCGTGCCCGTCAGGAGAAATAGTACATCCGGATGAGCTGAGTTGTGTTCCAGGGATCTGTGAAGATCCAGCACCGGTCAATGAATGTTCCGGGAAACCGGATGGTGTCTACGAATATTCCGACTGCAGCCGGTATGTTGTCTGTACCAATGAAGAACCGTCCATCGAAGATTGTCCCGCAAGAGAGATCTTCCTTGTAAGTATAGGAGTTTGCTTTCCAGGATCGGAATCAAATTGCAAACCATTCCTTTTGGATTCTATGTGTGAAGAGAGAGAAGACGGCTCCGTCCATCCTGATTTAGAAAATTGTTCGCAATTCATTACATGTAACAACAATCAAGCCACCCAAACCCCATGTGGTAGAGGAAACATCTACAGTCCGAGTCATAGGCAATGTCTCGCTGGAGCATCCTGTAAACTGATAGATGGTTGTGAAACCGCAGAGGACGGCACCGTTCTTTCACACCCTGACGGTTGTGATCTGTTCGTCGAATGCAAAGAACGCCTTGCCCACGCAATAGAATGCCCTCCGAGACATATCACCAGCGGTTCAAGCAGCGAGTGCGTTCCGGGAGACTTGAATACTTGCACTACTATTTGTGACGGTCAACCGGAAGGAACGTTGCTGCCACATCCAGAAAACTGTATCAACTACTTTGAATGTAGGGATGATGAATCAATCATTCTCACTTCCTGTCCACCAGAAACCATCTTCGATCAGCAAGAAGGTGATTGCATTCCAGGAGACGTACAAACATGCATGCCAGTAGCAAAGCAATGTATTGGCAGACCAGACGGCCAGTACGAGTATGGTCCCCTTGACTGTTCGCGATTCATCATGTGCTACGAAGAAATCATGACGATCGAGAACTGTCCCAATCGTGAGATTTTCCTACCGACCATGGGAATCTGCTTTCCAGGAATAGTGGAAAGTTGCGCAACTTACCCATTGGATACCATGTGCGAAGACAGAGAAGATGATACCATCTATCCTGCTCTCGACAATTGTGCAGAATTTATTACTTGTACCAACAATCAAGCCACTCAAACCCCATGTGGTAGAGGAAGCATCTACAGTCCGAGTCATAGGCAATGTCTCGCTGGAGCGTCCTGTAAACTGATAGATGGTTGTGAAACAGCAGAGGACGGCACCGTTCTTTTACACCCTGACGGTTGTGATCTGTTCGTCAAATGCACAGAACGCCTTGCCCACGCAATAGAATGTCCCAATGACGAAATTATCACCACAGATACAGATGATGAATGTGTTCCAGGAAATTCTGACACTTGCATAACAAATTCCGAAGATAATCTACCAATGAGGGAACCGAATGAAACACTCCCAACTTACAAATACAGGGGATAGTGTAGATGGATTAATGATTGATATTTAAAATATATGACACGGTTAGTATTCGACAGTAATCAAATTCTATGTTCGATGACATCCGCAGGATAAGTGAGGAATTTCTCTACAAATTTGTTATCAGCATTCAATTAGATCCAGCAATCAATCCTAAGTCACGAAGCAAAGGCTTGATTCCAGTGTTGCTTATCAATATTGTGATTTAGCGCTATCAAATGTCTGCGTGGTGGGTGGCTCAATTAATATTACTCATTGACACATGCACGATTTTTAGCAGTGCCCCCCCCTTTGTTGAGTCGGTAAAGGCGCAGCTGCAAAGCAAGACCATGCTGGAGGTGGCTGGTTTCGATTCCCGGTCCGGTCTAGGAATTGTTGGGGATGGAAAATTTCTCGACCTTTTCTGCACTGAGGCAAAATAACGTAATAATTCCATAAGAACCACTTATGAATTTTAGCCACAAGAAATCGATGTGAATTTCATAGATTTACCTTATGAAAAATAATGTCGACAAAAAATAATCAAATTTAGTAGACTGGAACCGAACTACGAACGTTGAGATTACGGGTCCTGTTACTGGACCACATGCCTGTCAACGCTTGGGAATGGCTAATGGCATAAAAGAACTACCTCATGTAAGACGAAAATCTTTCATAAGTCGTGCTTATGAAATTCATATGTGTCCAGGCCCGTAGCCAGGATTTGGTTTCGGTGGGGGGGGGGCTTATTTTATGACAAAAACTCCGAAGCTTAATAAAATGTGCGCATTACTGAACGTCGAATGATACAGATTCACGATACATATGTTAATTTGTTGTTTCCTTTTAGTTTCACCAAAATCGTTAGAGTTCATGTGAATCATGTGTCACCAATTATATTTTTTTTTTGTTAATTCGTTTTAATCTTTGATTGGAATTTTCAAACCCTTTAACAAGCAATTATGAGAAAATTTAAACAAATGTATGAATTTTAAGAAAATATTTTTTAAATTTGTTTTCTGCTGGTAATGACGATCAATATTTGCGTTCTGTAAGGAAGAACAAAATCATGTTAGATATTTTATGAAAAATAATTATTTTAAGAACATATTACCTGGTAATTACAAAATTAATCTACTAGCTTTACTATTTGTTGGTATATCAATCACGTGGTTCGGGTCAATGACATAATCCCAGTTAATTGATATTATAGCCAAGCCAGATAGTCGCTGGTTTCCCATTACGCTGCGTTGAACAGTTTTAATTCGTTTCAGTGTGGAGAAAGATCTCTCCACACTGGCTGTAGTGACCGGGAGTGTTGCCAAAATCGTCAACAAAAGATTGATTGTTGGAAAATACGTCTAGTCACATTTATCAAGCACCCCGAGAACCTCTACATTTTTGTCAATATTTATGGATGTCCGGCACCAGAGCTCGTATTCCGCCTTTACTGCAACCACGCTGGTAAAATCACCGAAATAATAGGTAAGTTTGTCAAGTTGGGATGACTCTCCAACATTTGTAAAACCAGGCAACAATAATTGGAACACCGGAAGGATGTCACAATTTTGTGTGAAACGTTCCATCATGTTTTGGATCAATCCATCGAGACATGGAATGAAAACTGCTCTTCGATTGTATTCCTCTGGTGTTTCTGCTGGTTGGTTTGCGCATATTGTTAGTTTGGATGCACGTGGAATCGTGGAATCGCTATCGAAAATAGACGTATGCAGCTTTGATGCTGCATTGAAAATTTCAGCAAATTTTGATTCAGCGTCAGCTCGTCTCTCATTGAAAACCTTTAGTATACTACTCGCATGATTAAGAGCCGATATGAGGTCCACAGATTTAGATTGTAATCCTATTGAAAGTGGTAGTGTAATACTTAGCAAGGATTCACAAACAATTAATGAAATCAAAAATCCTAATTTCTCCATAGCTGCCAAATAAATGGCAGAAGTTGCTGAAATTTTGCAGCTTTTCTCTGCAATAATCTCTGGGCTTTCACAAATGCATTCAAAAAGCTCAAGGAAATTTATCACGCTGTGATGCCGCTCGATGAATCGTGTTGCACAAAGCCGAATTAATCGTCGCTTTTTTGTGTCAGGCATACGTGTCGCTATTGATTCCTGTAAGACTTGCCTTGCATTCGAATGGTTCCTGAACAAGTTCGTCACTTCTGAAATAGTGCCTAAGCAGTTCCTGATTTGTGGGATATTCAACGAATTTGAAAGAGCAAGATTAAGCCTATGACCGGCGCAATGCACATATCTAGCCATAGGATACTGGTTTCTGATTCGTGTTTGTACTCCACTCAAATGACCGGACATATTTGCAGCTCCATCATATCCCTGCCCTACGCACTTGGTCATATCTAGTCGCGAATTGGAACAGCGATGCAAAATAGTCGATGCTAAATTTTCCGACGATTGATCCCCAATGATCACAAATCCCAAAAAGTCCTCCTGAATGACAGGTGATGACTTAGCCGCATCCACGTATCTCACACATAGTGAAAGCTGTTCTAATCCAGAAACATCCATGGTTTCATCTGCCAAAATAGTGAAGCATTTAGCAGAATTAACCTTTTTCACGATTTCGGTCAAAACAATATCAGAACAAGCACTAATGATTTCATAGGGGAATTTACGTATTCTCGTCAATCTAAGCAGTGTACACACTTCTATTAGCATTTTTTCAGCGTCACGCACATATATGACGTATCTGTAGGTTTACATTCATCTGCTGCTTGCTTCTCTATCCGTTTTAATCGACAGAATTCTTCAAAACTGTTTGAAAGCGTTTTTACAACGCTCCAAACTTCTCAGGTGAGTGTGACTATTGTCGGCAGCCTCGTTTTCTTCGGCAACCTTCCCATTAGAACTGCGTGTTAACCAGCTGTTCTATTATCGGCAACTTGAAATCAACCCCATTTTAGAGTGCGTATGCTTCATTTGAATAAAAATCTGCCATAACAGGACTGCTCAGACGTACACATACAATCAGATTGAAGCTGAAAGACTAAAGAATCGTTTGGATGCATTCAGGGAAGTGTGTTGATGGGAAAACATAATGAAATTAACGTTTAAAGTTTGGTTGCCGAAAACAGTCAATGGGTGCCGAAGCCGACATTTACCCTATCTCAGGACTTAGGTAGGTTGCATTTTTGGCGCTATTGAGAACATGTTTCTTCAAAATGTCATCACCACAGTTTGTTCTGTACCGGAGCAATGCACGAAATTTACCATCCTTCTCCTCGGGACGCTCTAGAGATAAGGGACCACTGTCATTATTTCCGCGTAACGGAAGTTCTTGTTCGGCACAGAACAATATTGTCTCAATTATTGGCCTCAGAGCTGCACGGTTTTCTTCCCTCTCTTTGTATTTCTGTTCATTCAGCTGAGAGACAATATCCTTTGCAGTTCCTGATTGAATTTGCAGAAAATTTGTAGCCAAAACCATGCAATCTTTATGGTATTGCCTGTTCTTGTGGTATGTAAAAGTTTCCTTTGACTTTTTCCAATCTCTGAAGCATGTTCGAACCAGCTTACCAATATTTTGATGTCCACCTTTTCCACCTTTGGCAAATAACAAGCAGGGTTTACAATAAACGCCATCGTCTTTTACTTAATAAGCAAGAAACGAAAATCCTGCTTGCGAATCAGTAATCCATTTTTCTTTGAACCGTCGATTCTGCTTGCCAACAATTGTAATCGGGTAAATAAAAGGCTGCGTTGGAACAAGTGTAGACTTCTACACGTTTTTTTTTAAATCTATCATCTGATATTTGCCCTACGATGCTGCTTATGTCAAATTTAGTTTCTATGAAGCATCATCAACAACAATTTTTTCCTCCACGTTGCATGTTTCATCGATGGGAGGCTCTGATGACGTTTTTTCTGGATTATTCTCCAAACTCACTATTCAATTATGACAAATAAATAAAAAAAATACTGTGAATTACTACCAATTTAACATGCAAACCATGACCGTCATGTGCCACCCTAAGAATGTTATGTGTTTGGTTTTGCTGTTTTGATATGAAATTTTGCTGTCATAATGCCAAAATCCGACCACAATATGACATAAAATTCTTGAAAAATATATTAAAGGGTGATACGGTCAAAATTTGGTCAATATCAACTTGACGTATTTCTTTCAATTTTGCATTTAAAAAAC